GGAAACCCAAGGCCAGGAGGTGGGAAGGGGCCTGTCTAGGGGTATCCACCTGGATAGAGGAAGATGCCTATGAAATGCAGATCTTCTTGAACTCACCCCAGTGATATTTCCTTGATGCTACTTTGTCCTCCCAAACCTACCAAGTCAATTAATTTTTTTTTCTATTTCTTCCATAAGAAATAAAGCTGACTTAGGTGCTAAAGAAATGATGCTTTCAAACTGTGGTGCTGGAGAAGAATCTTGAGAGTCCCTTGGACTGCAAGGAGATCAAACCAGTCATTCCTAAAGGAAATCAACCCTGAATATTCATTGGAAGGACTGATGCTGAACCTCCAATACTTTGGCCACCTGAGGCAAAGAGTGAACTCATTGGAAAAGACTCTGATGCTGTGAAAGATTGAGGGCAGGAGGAGAAGGGGGCAACAGAGGATGGGATGATTAGAGAGCACCACCAAATCAATGGACATGAATTTGAGCAAACTCCAGGAGATAGTGGAAGACAGGGGAGCCTAGTGTGCTGCAAAGAACTGGATAGGACTTAGCGACTGAACAATGACAAGGCAAATCTGGCACTCACATGAGTGGACAGAGTTGGAGTCTGTTGTATACAAGTGATTACTTTCCAAGTAGAGATGGAGACTGCCTGCAGAACTGATCATTTTTGATAGCAAATGAACAAATTAAAAACACAAAACAAAAAATTGAGGGTCTTTCACTGCATTTAGGCACAAACATACAAAAAGTTATTATAGCGTAAGAGAAATAGCTTTCATACTATTTTGTACTACAAAAATGCATGTCATACTTTAGTAGAGCTTCTCAAAATTACAAGGTATATGAATTTCTTAGTGCAAGTTCATGTGCCAATGCACAGTGAGGCCAAACAAACTGAATCATCCTTGAAGCATGGAGCAGATAAAGGTTTACTGCAGGACCATGCAAGGAGACCACGTGTCTCATGCCCTAAAAAGCCTCGAGTTCCCCCAGGGGGTTCGAGATTTCTTAAAAAACTGGAAATAGAACTGCCACATGACCCAGCAATACCACTTCTGGGCATACACATCGAGGAAACCAGATCTGAAAGAGACATGTGCACCCCAATGTTCATCGCAGCACTGTTTATAATAGCCAGGACATGAAAGCAACCTAGATGCCCATCAGCAGACGAATGGATAAGGAAGCTGTGGTACATATACACCATGGAATATTACTCAGCTATTAAAAAGAATTCATTTGAATCAGTTCTAATGAGATGGATGAAACTGGAGCCCATTATACAGAGTGAAGTAAGCCAGAAAGATAAAGACCATTACGTATACTAACACATATATATGGAATTTAGAAAGATGGTAATGAAAACCCTATATGCAAAACAGAAAAAGAGATGCAGATGTACAACAAATCACTTTTAAAAGCCAGGTGAGGAGAAGGGGTGGTCGCAGAGTTTGTGATCAGCTAGTGCACAGTTCTCTGATTGGCCGATGGTGAGGTAGCTGGGTGGTATCACAGGGGTGAACATGACCAGTCCTTAGGCTTCAGAAGTTAACATCCTCCATTTGTTGGAGAGGGGAAGGCTTTTTACATCTGCAAAACAACTCAAGAAATGTGCATCAAATACTGTTATTTAGGTATTTCAGCCAGGAGCTAACTCAGAGGATGGGGTTTCTCAGGTGGGTCAGTGGTAAAGAATCTGCCTGCAATGTGGATCGTGGGTCCTTCCCTGGGTCGGGAAGGTCACCTGGAGGGGGACATGATATCCAACTCCAGTAATCTTGTCTGGAGAGTCCCAAGGACAGAGGAGCCTGGTGCGCTACAGTTCAGAGGGTCACAAAGGGTCATGAGTGTGTCGGACATGACTGTAGCAACGAGCATGCACAGAGAAAATGAAGAGTCTTGAAAGCCAGGTTAAGAACTCGAACTTTGTGAGCAAGAAACCATTCAACAAGTATTTTATAGAATCTACTGTATAAGGCCTTCTTAGAAGCCCAGACAGGTAATGCCAATTCCCTATTCTTTAACACCCTTCCTTTAAAATCAATGCATTTTGCTAGACAGGGGAATATGGAATAGGCAACACTATAACCCTAGATGGATTCTTTTAAATAAGATTCCACATTACTCAAGCATAAAAAGGATGAAATGATGCTATTTGCAGCTACATAGATGGACCTAGAGATTATCATAATAAGTGAAATAAGAAGTAAGACCGATACCATATGATATTGCTTACATGTCAAATCTAAAATTTTCACCACCTTTATTTGAAAGTCTATTTTATCTGATATGAGTATTGCGACTCCTGCTTTCTTTTGGTCTCCGTTTACATGAAATATTTTTTTCCAGCCCTTCACTTTTAGTCTGTATGTGTCTCTTGTTTTGAGGTGGGTCTCTTGTACACAGCATATATAGGGGTCTTGCTTTTTTATCCATTCAGCCAGCCTTTGTCTTTTGGTTGGCGCATTCAACCCATTTACATTTAAGGTAATTATTGATAGGTGTGGTCCCATTGCCATTTACTTTGTTGTTTTGGGTTCACGTTTATACAACCTTTCTGTGTTTCCTGTCTAGAGAAGATCGTTTAGCATTTGTTGAAGAGCTGGTTTGGTGGTGCTGAATTCTCTCAGCTTTTGCTTGTCTGTAAAGCTTTTGAATTCTCATTCATATCTGAATGATAGCCTTGTTGGGTAGAGTAATCTAGGTTGTAGGTTATTCTCTTTCATTACTTTAAGTATGTCCTGCCATTCCCTTCTGGCCTGAAGGGTTTCTATTGATAGATCAGCTGTTATCCTTACGGGGATCCCTTTGTGTGTTATTTGTTGTTTCTCCCTTACTGCTTTTAATATTTGTTCTTTGTGTTTAATCTTTGTTAATTTGATTAATATGTGTCTTGGGGTGTTTCGCCTTGGGTTTATCCTGTTTGGGACTCTCTGGGTTTCTTGGACTTGGGTGGCTATTTCCTTCCCCATTTTAGGGAAGTTTTCAGCTATTATCTCCTCGAGTATTTTCTCATGGCCTTTCTTTTTGTCTTCTTCTTCTGGGACTCCTATGATTCGAATGTTGGGGCATTTCACATTGTCCCAGAGGTCCCTGAGGTTGTCCTCATTTCTTTTGATTCTTTTTTCTTTTTTCCTCTCTGCTTCATTTATTTCCACCATTTTATCTTCTACCTCACTTATCCTATCTTCTGTCTCCATTATTCTACTCTTGGTTCCCTCTAGAGTGTTTTTGATCTCATTTATTGCATTATTCATTTTTAATTGACTCTTTATTATTTCTTCTAGGTCTTTATTAAACATTTCTTGCATCTTCTCAATTTTGTCTCCAGGCTATTTATCTGTAACTTCATTTTGTTTTCAAGATTTTGGATCATTTTTATTATCATTATTCTAAATTCTTTTTCAGGTAGGTTCCCTATCTCCTCCTCTTTTGTTTGACTTGGTGGCCATTTTTCATGTTCCTTTACCTGTTGGGTATTTCTCTGCCTCTTCATCTTGTTTAGATTGCTGTGTCTGGAGTGGGCTTTCTGTATTCTGGAGGTCTGTGGTTCCTTTTATTGTGGAGGTTTCACCCAGTGGGTGGGGTTGGATGATTGGCTTGTCAAGGTTTCCTGGTTAGGGAAGCTTGCGTCGGTGTTCTGGTGCGTGGAACTGGATTTCTTCTCTCTGGAGTGCAATGGAGTGCCCAGTAATGAGTTTTGAGATGGGTCTATGTGTTAGGTGTGACTTTGGGCAGCCTGTATGTTGACACTCAGGGCTATGTTCCTGCGTTGCTGGAGAATTTGCATGGTATGTCTTGCTCTGAAACTTACTGGCTCTTGGGTCGTGGTTGGTTTCAGTGTAGATAAGGAGGCTTTTGGATTACTTAAAGTTCCATGTAGTCAGGAGTTTTCTGGTGTTCTCAGGTCTTGGGCTTAAGTCTCCTGCCTTTTGACACAAATGGACTCACAGACACAAAGAACAGACTTGTGGCTGTCAAGGGGGAAGGGGCGTGCAGAGGGTTGGATCGGGAGTTTGGGATTAAGAGATGCATGCAGGCGTGTGCTTAGTCATATCCGACTCTTTGCAATCCCATGAACTGCAGCACACCAGGCCTCCCTGTCCTTCACTGTCTCCCAGACTTTGCTCAAACTCATGTCCATTCATCCATCTCATTATGTCATCCTCTTCTCCTGCCCTCAGTCTTTCCCAGCATCAGAGTCTCTTCCAAAGACTTGGCTCTTCGCATAAGGTGGCCAAAGTATTGGAACTACAGCTTCAGCATCAGTCCTTCTAATGAATATTCAGGACTGATTTCCTTCAGGATTGACTGGTTTGATCTCCTTGCAGTCCAAAGGAGTCTCAAAAGTCTTCTCCAGCACCACAATTCGAAAGCATCAATTCTTCAGTGCTCAGCCTTCTTTATGGTCTTCTTTATGCTCTCACATTTGTACACAACTGCTGGAAAAACCATAACTTTGATTATACCAACATTTGTCAGCAAAGTGATGTGTCTGCTTTTTAATATGCTATCTAGGCTTGTAATAGCTTTTCTTCCAAGGAGAAAGCATGTTTTAATTTTGTGGGTACAGTCACTGTCCACAGTGATTTTGAAATCCAAAAAAATAAAAACTGTCATTGTTCCAATTTTTTCCCCATCTATTTGCCACGAAATGATGGGACTGGATGCCATGATCTTATTTTTTGAATGTTGAACTTTAAGTCAGCTTTTTCACTCTCCTCTTTCACCCTCATCAAGAAGCTCTTTAGTTCCTCTTCACTTTCTGCCATTATATTGATATATATATATATATATATACACACACATAAATATATATATATATTTATACACACACACATATATACATATATATATATATATATATATATAACTGGATTACTTTGCTGTATAGTAGAAATTGACACAATGTAAATCAACTATCATTGTTGTTGTTAGTCTTCCAGTTGTATCAGACTCTTTGCGATCCTATGGACTTCAACATGCTGGGTCTATCTGTCCCTCACCATCTCCCAGAGCTTGCCCAAGTTCTTGTCCATTGCATCGGTGATACCCTCTGACCATCCAGCCATCTCATCCTCTGACACTCTCTTCTTTGGCCCTCAATCTTTCCCAGCATCAGGGGCTTTTCCAATGAATCAACTATACTTCCATTAAAAAAATAAGATATCATAAGAAAAATTTTGAGTATTAGGAAAAACACCCTTCTTTAAACATGAACTGTAACCAAGTTACATCAGGATGTGATAGGCTAAAGAACTGAGCTATACATTATACATTTCAGAATAGTTACACATTGCTATAATATTGTTACAGATATGTGACTCTATCGTTACAGTCTCCAGAAGTAAACACAATTTAGAAATTTTTGAAAATTGAAATCACAATCTCAGTGACAACAGTAGCAATGTTTACTTATTTCTGTGAGGCAGCTCAAATGAAATTAAACTTCAACATGAAATAAACATTTTCTGAGAAGACTCACAGGAAATCCACAGTTTCTCTTTTATCAATGGCAATCCTTTTGAAATGAACATGAAATAAAGTATTGAATCCTTAGTTTCAAAAGAGCCATCAATCCAATATGCCTGCAATTGTTCTTTTTTGTTGGAAGACAATAAGATGCAACCCACTTACATTGCTGGCAAATTTAGTTCTCAAAAGCTGCTTCCTGGATCCTTCGTGTGTGTGTGTGTGTGTGTGTGTGTGTGTGTGTGTGTGTGTGTGGCAAATAATAGTTATGAGGCATTTAGGTTTGTGACTAATTCAAGGATCAACTACTGGATGCATCCATCAGGATTTCTACCAGGAATTCATTAGTTGGTTTTAAGTTAGTAATTCCATCATCATGGTATGTGTTATCTTACTCCTAGACCTAGTTTTGTGTCCACACTTTCTAGCTAGCTCAGTGGTAAAGAATCCCCCTACCAAGCAGTAGATACAGGTTTGATCCCCTGGGTTGGAAAGATTCCCCTGGAGAAGGAACAGGTAATCCATTCCAGTATTCTTGCCTGGGAAATCCCACAGACTGAGGAGTCTGACGGGCTGCAGTCCCTGGGGTTGCAAAAGAGTTTGACATGACTTAGCAACCTAACAATAACAGCAATTTTGTGTTAGCGCAGCCTAGTTCATCCAGACCTTCACCATCTTTTTGGATCAAGTGAGATCAGAGAAGGCTGGTAGTAAAAGAGCTACACTCATAAATGCAGCACCATTCGAAGCTAAGGTGGCAAAGTCCTGCTGAGCCTGATATCTTGCTTTTCACTCACATTGCTCTGCCTTTTTATTCTCTGTCAATGGGCTGGAATTGAGCAATAAGAACCTGCTGTGATTCTTTTTTGCAGATTCACTTGTGTACAATTTTGGAGCTGAATATTCATTCTTTTATGACATTTACCCTTTCTACTGCCTTTCCCCCCTTGACATCCATTAACAAAGAGGAAAGTGTGACCACTGGTGGTTATCCTGTTTTACTTGCTATAAGAGTTTTACAGTAAGACTCAACCTTGCATCCACAGAACTGGTTTTCTAACTGAAATCTTATTTTTTTCCAGGCAGCCCTCTGCTGGGGGTGCTTGATGATTCATATGCTGTACCTAGGCTGCAACAAGCAAATACCACAAGAGTCATGAGGTTGAGCCACTTGCTGGGAGCCAACACACAGGGAAGGGGGTGTGGCACAAAGGAGGCATGGTAATTAACCCAAGCACCAGTAATGTAGGATCTGTGCAGGTGTTCCTTTTTTTTGTCTTCTAGTGACAAAAAGAGACAAGTACAACTTGGTCCACTCTTTCCAGGCTCACAGCATGCATGCATGTTAACTCACATCAGACATGTCCATCTCCGGTATGGACTGTCACCTGCCAGCCTCCTCTGTCTTCCCATCCAGGGGTTGAACTCACATCTCCTGCTGCTCCTGCATTGCAGGCTGATTCTTTACCACTTTGCCACTGGGGAAGCCCCTTCACAAGACAGTCTTTCTTAAAAAACTCTTTGCTGGCACCATGAGATGGATTTTGGTGGCACCGAAAGGACTCTTTCTCTCCTTTGCTTTTGAGCCCCCTGTAAATAAGAGAGGGTACTTGATCCTCCAGTTGTTTGAGGTGTTTCAGCAGCTACTGCTCTTGTGGGGCCTCTAACCTCCTAACTCTTGGAAGGGAACCAGAAGGTTTTATTTTTACTTTTTAAGATTTTTTGATGTGGACCACTTTTAAAGTCTTTATTGAATTTATTACAATACATTGCTTCTGATTTACAGTTTGGTTTTTGGGGGCCTTGAGGCATGTGGGATCTGACTTAGCTCCCTGACCTGGCATTGAAACTGCAACTCCTGCATTAGAAGGTGAAGTCTTAACCACTAGACCCCCAGGAAAGCCCCTGCCCCTAGAAGGTTTTAAAATGCGTGTATTTCTCATTCTGTTTCATCGAATAATTCTCTCTACCCTGACAAGGAGACTTTAAGTACAGAGATGTGGATATATTAGTAAAATGGGGAATACATGTAAAAAAAAAAAAAAAAGATACACTATGGTTGTGATAAAAAATAAATAAATAAATTAAAAAAAAAATAAAGTTTAGTTAACATAAAATTTAACTTTAATTTTAAATTAGAAAACCCAAAAATTTAAGAAAAAAGTTTGGGATTGTTTATTCCTGCACAAATTGAAGAATACTAGAATAATCTACTGAGGAATAATGCTCTATTATGCCTTTTCTAAATATATTAATGATGTATTAATGCGGTATTAGAGTTCTAAGTGATTCACTATTTTAATATCATATGTAAAATAGACAGTCAGTGGGAATTTGCTGTGTGATACAGGGAGCTCAACCCAGTACTCTGTGACAACCTAGAGGCGTGGGATGGGGTGGGAGATGGGAGGGAGGGTCACGAGGAAGGGGACATACAGGTGGCTGATTCATGTTGATGTATGTTGGAAACCAAAACAATATTGCAAAGCAGCTATCCTCCAATAAAACTTTTTTTGGAAAAGTATGTATTTAATAATTTTTATAAATATGCTATCAACTCTACTTTATAAATATCAATTTCTTAAGTGCTTTCTGTCCCAGGAGAAATAAATTCATCTAAGCTAGAATTGGCAGATGTGTTTCATGTGAGCTGTTCTGTCCCTCCTCTTATGAAATTTGGCTGAGTTTTGTTCCAGACATGTCAAAGGCCTGCCCTAGAGAGATAAGGATTAATTAATTGAAGATAACTGACAATGTAGAAACCAAGCAGATATTTGCAGAACTTATTGTGTGTGTCAGGCAGTTCAGATTGGAACAGTATATTGGAGTATTCTTTTTTTCTACATGGGGATACCAAGATATATTTTGTAAAATAGATAAGAGTAGTGATTATTTGTTACAGGAACTTAAATAATTTTTAGAAAAAGGGGACAGGAAATCTTACTTAGCTATAACTCATTTAATGTTAGGTAAGCCATATGAAATTTCTGATATTTAATCAAATACATCTTTGAAACTGAATGTCTTGAAAATAAAAATAAAATAAGATCAGCCCTTCCACTTCCATATAATAAATGTTTCTACATTTCTTTTACATACTTCCCCCATGGCTCAGTGGATAAAGAATCTGCCTGCAATGCAGGGGACACAGTTTCAATCCCTGGGTTGGGAAAATCCCCTGGAGGAGGAAATGGCAACCCACTCCAGTACTCTTCCTTGAAAAATCCCATAGACAGAAGAGCCTGACAGGCTATAGCCCATGGGGTCACAAAGAGTCAGATAGGACTGAGAGATTAAGCACACACAAAAGGCTGTCTACACTAATTATGGGCGAGCACGCTGGCAAAGAAACTCTCAAATTCTCCAAGCCAGGCTTCAACAGTACCTGAACTGAGACTGTCCAGATGTTCAAGGTGGATTTAGAAAAGACAGAGGAACCAGAGATCAAAGTGCCAACATCCATTGGATCATAGAAAAAGCAAGAGAGTTCCAGAAAAACATCTACTTGTGCTTCTTTGACTATCCTGAAGCCTTTGACTGTGTGGATCACAACAAACTGTGGGAAATTCTTAAAGAGATAGGAATACCAGACGACTTTACCTGCCTCCAGAGAAACCTGTATGCAGGTCAAGAAGCAACAGTTGGAACTGGACATGGAACAATGGACTGGTTCCAAATAAGGGAAGGCATACTTCAAGGCTGTATATTGTCACCCTGCATACCTAACTTATATGCAGACTGCATCATGAGAAACGCCATACTGGATGAAGCACAAGCTGGAGTCAAGATTGCAGAAAGAAATATCAATAACCTAGATATGCAGATGACATCACTTTTAATGCAGAAAGTGAAAGGAAGTAAAGAGCCTCTTTACATGCAAGTGAAACAGGAGAGTGAAAAAGCTGGCTTAAAACTCAATATTAAAAAAATCTAAGATCATGGCATCTGGTCCCATCACTTCATGACAAATAGATAGGGAAACAATGCAAACAGTGACACTATTTTCTTGGATTCCAAAATCACTGTGGAGGGTGACTGCAGCCATGAAATTAAAAGACACTTGCTGCTTGGAAGAAAAACTGTGACAAATCAGGACAGCATATTAAAAAGCAGAGACATTACTCTGCTTACAAAGATCTCTCTAGTCAAAGCTATTGTTTTTCCAGTAGCCAAATATGGGTGTGAGAGTTGGATCATAAAGAAAGACGAGCACTAAAGAACTGATGCTTTTGAACTGTGGTGTTGGAGAAGACTCTTGAGAGTCCCTTGGACATCAAGGAGATCAAACCAGTCAATCCTAAAGAAAATCAGCCCTGAATATTCATTGGAAGGACTGATGCTGAAGCTGAAACTCCAGTACTTTGGCCACCTGATGCGAAGAACTGACTCATTGGAAAAGATCCTGATGCTGGGAAAGATTGAAGGCCAAAAGAGAAGGGGATGAAAGAGGATGAGATGGTTGGATGTTATCACTGATTCAATGGATATGAGTTTGAGCAAGCTCTGGTAGTTGATGATGGACAGGGAAGCCTGGGGT